AGCTTGGGTTTTTTTCTACGTTTATAACACAACCCTAAACAGGTGTCTACCCAGAAGTATGTCCTACCGATTTCAGTATAATAAATTTCTCTCTTCCAACACAATCTCACCCAGGCTGAAATAAATGCAATAAACAGCCTCAGCAACAATCCAGGCATCCTTATTAAAGAAACTGACACGGGAAGAGTCATTGTTATCATGGGCAAATCAGATTACAGTCAGGAGGCCGAAAGACAATTCTCCAATCTCACTTCCTACAAACAACTTATCCTCAGATCCCACTGAGGAATACCAAAAAGGACTAAACAGGATTATGAAAGAATACAGGAAAAGATCTATATAGATGCACCACAGGAACCTCGACCAGGCATTTTCTATCTTCTGCCCAAAACACACAAGCTCGGCAACCCAGGATGTCCTGCTGTCTCAGGCATAGCCACCATCACTGTAGGGGTGTCTGGTTATGTGGACTCCGTTCTCAGACCCTATGCCATCAATGCCCCCAGTTCTGTGTGAGACGCCACAGACTTCCTGAGAAAAACAGAATCTGTTAACAATCCTCCAGCAGCACTATTTTGGCCCCCACAGATGTTGTGTCTCTATACACCGACATCTCCCACAAAGACGGGCTACGGGCAATTAGGAATACCATCTCTAAATACCATGCCCCGATCTCCCTACCAAGCTCTGTCGGTTTGTCCACACCTGCAACTTCTTCAGATCTGGTGAGGATGTATTCCTTCAGACCAATGGCACAGCCACTGGGCACCCGCATGGCACCACAATATGCCAACATTTTCATGGCTGACGTGGAGCAGCGCTTCCTCATCTCCCTTCCAGTTGTACCTGAGATTTATTGATGACATTTTCATCATTTGGACACATGGGAAAGAAGCACTGGGGGAATTTCACCAGGCCTTCAGCAGCTTCCACCCCATGACCAACCTGACCATGAACCAAGAAATACATTTTCTGGACACCACTGTACACATAGCCAGCTTGGTGTAGTGGTCAAGAGCAGCAGACTCTAGTCTGGAGAACTGAGTTTGAGTCCCCACTCCTCCACAGGAAGCCAGCTGGGTGACCTTGGGTCAGTCACAGTTCTCTCAGCTCTCTCTCAGCCCCTCCTACCTCACAAAGTGTGGGGAGAGGAAGGGAAGGCGATTGTAAGCTGCTTTGAGACTTCTTAAGGTAGAGAAAAGCAGAGTATAAAAACCAACTCTTCTTCTACATAATGGAAGCATAAAAACCACCTTATAACAATATCAGAAACCTACTGATCGCCAAACATATCCACATGCCTCCACTTACCATCCTAAACACACTGAAGGATCCATTGTCTATAGCCAAGCTCTATGTTACAGCTGCATCCATTTCAACCCTGCAGATTCTCACCTGCAGGATCTACAACAGACATTTTTGGAATTACAGAACCCACCTGTTGTAGTAAGGAAACAGATCAACAAATCCAGAATGATACTAAGGGATAACCTCCTACAAGATAGGCCCACATGAAGCAACAGCAGAACACCACTGGTGGTCACATACAGCTCTCAGCTCAAACTTGTTCAGTGAATCATTAATCACCCACAACCTATGCTGGACAATGATACTCCTCCTTCACAGGCATTGGGAGGAAAACCTTTTCTTGCTTCTCCTAACCTTAAAAAACTTCTCACCCACAACAATGCCCTTCTTAACATGGGCATGGACTCTGGACCAAGGCCTGCAACAAACCAAGATGCCAACTTTGTCTCCGTACTCACTCTGACAACACAGTCACCAGACCTAACAACTCCAGCCAAAGCATCTCAGGATCATTCACTTGTTCATCTTCCAACACTACATATGCTATCAAATGGAACACTATGACTGGAGCAGTGATGCACTGCATTCTTGGTGCAACAGTGGGAGGGCTTCTGGAGTTCTGGCCCCACTGGTGGACCTCCTGATGCCACCTGGGTTTTGGCCACTGTGTAACAGAGTATTGGACTGGATGGGCCATTGGCCTGCTCCAACATGGCTTCTCTTGTGTTCTTAAATGTTAGCAATGCCCTTCCACTCTTTCACGCTGAACAAACAGGTCAGTCCCTACGGAAAGAATTAATGGACATAAATCCAATATAAAAACCCACAACACTCAAAAACCAGTGGGGGAGCATTTTAATCTTCCAGACCATTCCATTGCAGACCAAAGAGTGGCAGTCCTCAAACAGAGATGCTTCAAGGGGAGATTACAACACTAGATTGCTGAGTTCATTCACACATTTAGAACAATGGACCCCCCCCCCCCCCAAGCTGAACTGGGACACAGGAATCTTATCTCACCACAGAGGCTAATTCTCTGACCCCAAGCACTTCCTCTCTGCTGTAATCAAGGTAATTACTATGTGCCTTTTACCTTCACATCCCGAGTTCCTTCTTTGCAACACCTCTCCCACCTTCTGATTGGGATATAAAGACTCCGACATCTCCATTCCAACTCATATCTGATGAAGGGAGCTTTGACTCTTGAAAACTTACGCCCCCAAAATCTCGTTGGTCTCTAAGGGGCTACTGGACTCAGATTTAGATGTTCCACTGCAGACCAACATGGCTACCCTCTGAAACTATCATTCCTGTCTAGAAACACACCAAGAGCCAGTGTGGTATAGTGGTGAGTCTAGAGTCTAGGAGACCCAGGTATGCCATCTGTAGAATCGAATCCTAGTCTAGAACCTAGGTATTTCAGCTCCATGCTGGTCACCAGATCGCTGGGTGACCATGGGCCAGTCACATACTCTCAGTCTACTCTATCTCACAGGGTTGTTGAGAGGCTGAAGGGGAGAATATTATGAGCCATCTTGGGTCCCCATTGGGAAGAACAGCAGGGTATAAATGAAGTAAACAAAATAGGACTGTAACTGCGTTACTATAACACAAATCTGTACCTTAACTGATCTGTTTAACTGTCTAGGTTTGACAAAACTTGGGTATATTTTTAAAAAGCCAAAGGTATTGACCTATTTGATCATATAATCCAGAGTTACACATACCTTCCCTCTTCAGAAAATGTCCTGAAAAACACAAAAGGCTCTACATCTGACAATAGCACTACAGATAAGATTAGAATTTCAACATCCAATCCACATGCAAAAGAACCTCCTCAGGAAACCTCAGGAAACAATCCATATGCAAAAGAACTTCCTCAGGAAGAAGCCAATCCATATACAAAAGAACCTCCTCAGGAAAGCTCCCCCATTAGCATGTTTCACAGCCTGGGGAACTCCTACATGATAATGACTTAGCCCTACCCCACCTTCCTGAGTAGATAAACTACCTGCCTACCATTTTTCTTCTCACCTTGACTCCATCTTTCTGTGTTATACCTCTGACGATGCCAGTCACAGCTACTGGCGAAACATCAGGTCCTACAATGCCAAGACGGCCAAACAACCCGGAAAATCTACAACGGCTCATATACACTACAGTCTAAATAAACTCAGTTAACAAAGCATGTTGAGATTGCCTGCTAGTTTGCAACAATTTGGTCAGCCCATACTGTCCCGATCTCATCAGATCTTGGAAGCTAAGCAGCCTCAGCCCTGACCAGTATTTGGATGGGAGATCTCCAAGGAATACCAGGGGTGTGACATGGAGGCAGACAATGGTAAGCCACCTCTGAACCTCTCTTGCCTTGAAAACCCTACAGGGTCACCATAAGTCAGCTATGACTGGATATCACTTTTCCCTACCACCATCAAAAATAAAAAATAAACCGATAACAGCAGTTATGAGGGCAAGGGGCTCCCCCCACCCCCGACCAGCAGAGTTATTTACAATACTTGACAAGATGGTTCATGCCATTTTATGGTTTATGCCAATTAGGTAGTGGGAGGGCTTCTAATGTCCTGGCCCCACTGGTGGACCTCCTGATGGCACCTGGTATTTCTGGCCACTGTGTGACACAGAGTGTTGGACTGGATGGGCCTTTGGCCTGATCCAACATTGGCATCTCTTATGTTCTTATGGTACATTGTACCGCTTTTATTGGAGCTGCGGTGGCTCAAGTGGTTAAGACACTGAACTGCAGGCTGTGGAAGGTCATTAGTTCAGCAGTTCGAGACCCGAGTTGCCGCATGACGGAGTGAGCTCCCGTCTCTAGTTCCAGCTCCTGCCAACCTAGCAGTTCAAAAGCAAGAAATTGCAAGTAGATAAATAGGTACCACTTCGGTGGGAAGGTAACAGCATTCCGTGCGCCTTGGTGTTTAGTCATGCCGGCCACATGGCCACGGAAACGTCTTCGGACAGCGCTGGCTCTTCGGCTCTGAAACGAAGATGAGCACCGCAACCCTAGAGTCGGACTCGACTGGCTTTCGAGCAAGGGGAACCGTTACCTTTACCTTACCGCTTTTGTTAGCTGCCCTGAGCCTGTTCGCAGGATGGGCGGGGTATAAATATAATAATAAATAAATAAGAATACTACAAGCTTGGCTCAGGATAAGCCTTTACCTCAGATGAAGGATCTGATGAAATATCAAATCCCAGTGCCGAGCCAACCATACTGCTTTGGGGTGGTTCTGAATATCTGTGCATGAAGGACATTATGTGGCCAGGGAACAGGCAAAACATAATGGAAACATTCCCTACAACACTACAATCTTGGCTCAGGTGGGTCGCTTGAGTCCAGGGGCACCTTTAAGACCAACACAGTTTAATTCTGGGTATAAGCTTCCGTGTGATACAACTTTCCTGGTCTTAATGGTGCCACGTCAGCTCCTTAAAAATAAAAAATGTTTACTTGGTGACAGGACACCACACTTCCGAAACATAAAACGTCGGCGCTCTTGCACACAAGACCCACGAGGCTTTCGCCTCTCCTTCCCCCTCCTCTCTGGTGACGTAGCCGGGCTCCTCCGAACTAGGCGGGGCCAAATGGTGAGGGTTCTGCTTCCCCCGCCCCTCGAAGCTGATTGGTCTGTGCCGGCTCCCAATAATACTCATAGTAAAACCGTTGGTACCTGCCCGTGTAGGAAGATGGTCTTGTCCCGCGCAGACTCCCTGAGCACCTTCCGCACAGAGAGGTCCGCCAAAGGGAACCCAGTGGCGGTAGTACCTTCCTTTCGGGACTCGGCCGTCCCATTCTCACCCTCTTTCTTCTCCCGTTTCCTTTTCAGAGTAGGGGATTCCGCCATGGCTTTGCGAAGGAGGTGGGAAAGCGGGAAATTGTACGCATGCGCCGTCACCCTCAAACTGTCGCCTCCGCACGCGCCGTCTTACGGTTGCCGAGTGATGCCCTCTGCTGGTAGGAGGCTACTAAGGCGAGCCTGGTGATGGCGTGTGCACATGCGCACAGTTGTGTTCCCCGGGAGGATGATCTAGATGGGTTTCACTTCCGGCTCCCGTTAGACTCCTCCATGTGCGGGGTGAAGAGGGTACAAATACATAAAGAGCAACGGCTGATGGTGGCACCTTAAAAATATATTTAAGCCTGTATGGGCACATAGCCAGTGTGGTGTTCTAGGATGTCAGAGTAGGTACTGGTAGGTTCGAGTGACCTTGGCACTATCAGCTCACTCTGACCTACCTCACAGGGCTGTTGTGTGAGGATAAAATGGAGGAGGAAGAACTATGTACATCCCCCTGATCTTCCTGGCAGAAGGGTGGGATAAAAATGTGGAGTATGAAAACAAAGTGTGAATCGTGCCACCCAAAGACTGTGAAATGTACTCCAGCTTGGTTGCAAAGGAGTAGTCCTGTCACTCTGTTGTAGAAAATAAAACATGTATCTAGAAGTACCATAAAGGCTAACATTTCAGTATGAGCTTTCAGGGGCCACAGCCCACTTTGTCAGATAGATAGGTGATGGGAAACTGTACTGGGGAGTTTTTATGGAGTCAAGGCTTGGTGTGAATTAAGCTATGTGTAAATCTTAATATAAGAAGAAAAGGGAAGAGCTGATGTAGAAAGGGAGAGTTTGAGTCCCATCATAAATCAACAGAACTAGCAGTTACATGTACCTGATTAATGTGGGAGGTCAGAGGTTCTGAGAGAAGAGAGCCAGTTTGGTGTAGTGGTTAAGTGCGCGGACTCTAATCTGGGAGAACCGGGTTTGATTCCCCACTCCTCCACTTGCACCTGCTGATGTGACCTTGGGTCAATCACAAGCTCTGGCACAGCTGTCCTTGAAAAAGAGCCGTTTGTGTCAGAGTTCTCTCAGCCCCACCCACCTCACAGGGTGTCTGTTGTGGGGAGGGGAAGGGAAAGGAGTTTGTAAGCCGCTCTGAGACTCCAAGTGAAGGGCGGGGTATAAATCCAATCTCTTCTTCTCTTCTTCTTCTTCTTCAGATAAGCAAATATAATAAGGGGAAATTAATTGATATTGGTACCAGGTGATACAGTCTGATAGAACAGATTAAGAACAGCCAGTTAAAATTTCAAAAAGTGGATCTTGTAGCACCAGTAGAGATTGTGGTGACTGACTGAGGAAATCCAAGTCTCTGTTTAAGCTGGGGTGACATGTCCTATTTAATTTTTTGATAAGTAGTCTGGAAGTCACTGTTCCTTCAAAAGCCCACTAACCTTCAAAAGGAATATACAGTGTGAAAGTGCTGAATTAGAACTTCGCTAATTCTGTTGATTTATGACAGGAGATACCTACCCTTTCTACATCAGCTCCTCCTTTTTCCCCTTACATTGGAAGTTTCATAGTGTAATTCACACCAAGACTTCACCTGCCCCATAAAAATTCCCCAGTATGGTTTTCCATCACCAGTCTGAAGAAGTGGGCTGTGACCCGCAAAAGCTCATGTTGAAATGTCTTTAAAGTACCACTAGATTTTTATTTAACTATGGCTGGGGAAATTCCTGATTTGAGGATGGTGCTGGAGAAAGGTAGAGGCTGGGGAGGTGAGGGAGTTCACCCTTTGAAGCTGCCATAAGAGAACCAATGTTGGATCACGCCGATGGCCCATCCAGTCCCAACACTCCGTCACACAGTGGCGAAAAACACCAGGTGCTATTTGCTCCTGGGGAACGGTTCCCTGACCATCAACTGTAATTCTAGAACTTCAGTTCCCCACCTGTACACTGGCAACCCTAACACCTCTACAACAAAATGAACCTCTGGCATCTCACCACCTGTCTCTTTATCCTTGTGTGTGCATGTGTATAAAGTGATCCATTTTTGCTGGAACGGAGATGCAGGGGGTGGAAATTGATATAAACACTTAACAGGCAATGCTAGTGGGTCTCTTTTTCAGTGCAAGATCTGCTGGACCACTGTTGCTAACGGTGGCAAATTTCCTGCTACATCATCGCTCAGTACTGAAGGACATAATGAAATTTTAACTACAGGTTTTTTTAATAGGGACACTTCATTCTTTTTAGAAAAGATGTACATTAAAAACACAGTGTGTTATGTAAACGCTGATGGAAAGTCTGCTATTCTACCTGCAGCAAGTAGGGTTACCAACTACAGCTTGGAAAATTCCTGGAGATTTGGCAGAATTTGGGGAAAGGAAGGAAGCTCAGCAGTGATGCGAATCCATACAGTCCGTCCGTCCCCGTCCCCAACCAAGCTGCCATTTGTTCCAGGGAAACTGATCTGTAGTCTGGAGCTCAGTTGCGATTCCAAGATAATTCCAGGCCCCACCTTGAGGTTGGTAACAGCTGCTGGGGGAAACTGAAGGTCCAAGCAATACACTTGTTTGTGAATAACTATGTTGCAGACCAAAGTTTGTCACTTCAAAGTAGATTTCGAAGTTTTTTCAAGTATTAGACTGCGCACTGATTCTAACTGCTGCATCCAGTCCCCGTAACTGAAGCAAAATTAGGATAATAAAAGCTCGGCGACCCAAATTATGAAAGGGAAGGAGGGAAAGAAAAGGAAGGAGTAGGAACAAGATTGGCATTCACAGCTAAATCTTCTTATGGCAGATTGGGAAAGAAAGACTGGAGAAGAAAAAGATTAATATAGAGTGCATCCTAAACTGAGTTACACCCTACTGACTAAGCCTGTTGAGGACTGCATTGATATTCCTGAACAGTTAGAACGGATAAAAGGAAGTCCTTCTTCACCCAAAGAGTGATTAACACATGGAATTCACTGCCACAGGAAGTGGTGACGGCTACAAGCATGGACGGCTTCAAAAGGGAATTACATAAGCATATGGAGCAGTGGTCCATCAGTGGCTATTAGCCACAAGATCTAGATAGGGGCTCTGGGGCAAGTGATGCTCTGTCTTCTTGGTGCTTGGGGGGGTCAACAGTGGGAGGGCTTCTAATGTCCTGGCCCCACTGGTGGACCTCCTGATGGCAACTGGTATTTCTGGCCACTGTGTGACCCAGAGTTTTGGACTGGATGGGTATTTGGCCTGATCCAACATTAGCGTCTCTTATGTTCTTATGTTCTAACAGAAGCATATTATGAGGTAGTCTGGTATAAGCATAAAAATAGGCCGCTTGGAAAGAAACAGCGTGTTTGTAAAGTGCCATCAAGTTGCCACTGACTTAAGAGTGGCCCCAGAAGGTTTCCCAAGGCAAGAGATGAACAGAGGTGGGTTTGCCATTGCCTGCCTCTGTGCAGCAACCTTGCATTTCCTTGGTGGGCTCCCACCCAAGTACTAACCACGGGATGACCCTGCTTAGCTTCTGAGATCTGACAAGAGTGGGCCCACCCAAGTCACAGCGAAAGAAACATACGTAGAACCAAAGCCCGTAGGGGCGAGGCCTGACACATTTTAAACACACTTCAGCACCCAATCCTGTCACACACAGGCTGGAGTCAGGATGAAGCCTGGTTTCTTTCCAGCTAGGAAGCCCACCCTACAGGAACCAGAGGCAAAAAATGCTGCACCAGCCTTTGATCCAGGAACATTAACAAGCTGGGTCCTAATTTCATGCTTTCCTGCCGTCACTGTAACCCAGGAACATAAACCGGGCTGACAAGTGAGGGAGAGCTGGGAAACAGCCCACAAGGATGCTGAACTAAACAGCCTGGGACCACCTCGCCCAGTGTGACTCCCCCTTGCCTCCTTTGATCATAATCACAGGGCCTTCTGCAGGTGCCTGGCCTGTGAATTGCCTGCTTGTCAACCACCAGGGCATGGGCATTTTCAGCGGTCGCCCCTTCTCTCTGGAATCCGCTCCCTGGGGTTGTTTGTGCCTTGCCGGAGCTTTCATCATTCTGTAGGGCTGGTAAGGCTGGTTTGTTTCATGCAGCCTTTGGGTAATATGCCTGCCTTTGTGCAGCAACCCTGCATTTCCTTGTTTTATTTGTTTCATTTGTTTTAATTCTTCAAGAAGACGACGAAGATGATGATGATGAAGACGAGAAGAGACTGGATTTATACCCCGCCCTTCACTTGGAGTCTCAGAGCAGCTTATAAACTCCTTTCCCTTCCCCTCCTCACAACAGACACCCTGTGAGGCAGGTGGGGCTGAGAGAGCTCTTTCCAGAACTGTCCTTGAGAGAACAGCTCTGACAGAAGAACTATGGCTTGCCCAAGGTCATCCAGCAGCGGCAGGTGGAGGAGTGGGGAATCAAACGTGGTTCTCCCAGAGCAGAGTCCACACACTTAGGTAAAGGTAAAGGTTCCCTTGCTCGAAAGCCAGTCGAATCCGACTCTAGGGTTGCGGTGCTCATCTCCGTTTCCAAGGCTAAGAGCCAGCGCTGTCCGAAGACATTTCCATGGTCATGTGGCCGGCATGACTAAACACCAAGGTGCACGGAACGCTGTTACCTTCCCACCTAAGTGGTACCTATTTATCTACTTGCAATTTCTTGCTTTCGAACTGCTAGGTTGGCAGGAGCTGGAACTAGAGACGGGAGCACCACTGGCTCTTTTTTGTTATTGCATTATTTTAATTGGTTTTATTGTTCTATTTAAATTTTTTTGTTGTATCGTATTTTTAAAATGCAATATTTTTGAAATGTCGGAAGTCGCCCCAAGTCCCCTGTGGGGAGAAGGGTATGGGGTAAAATTAAATAAATAAGTAGAATTCTGACACCGTTCTGTTTTATTATAATGTAACAGACATTAAAAAAAAAAAAGAAGTCGTAAGGGTTCCCGTTGGTTTGGCCTCTGGTAAAAAGGGAACTTTCTTCTCGGAACTCACACAGTGAGTTCAAAGCACACACACTTCACATACAACAGAATTTAGTGTACGCCTAATACTTTTACCATCAACCCCAGGACTTTGTTGGGCCCTCGGAAGTCTCAAATATATGGGCTACGAGAACATGTTTCCATTGCCGTTTATAAACAATGAATGTTCCCGCAACAGAGCAGGCCGCTTAGATGCCATTTAGTGCACACCCATGTCTCTTCCAGATAGCGGAATGCCAAAGAACACAAAGTCTTCCCTTCAGTGGTGAGATGGGTCAGGGGGAAGGAACGACATGCTTCACGTATCCCATGCGAGCAAAGGCATCCTTCAGCTTTAGCTTGTATCAAAAGTGCTTTTGCCCAATAGTCCAAAGTCTCAATGTTTAGTCCGTGTTCCAGTTAATCGCTTCTGCTTGCATTTTTACATAGTTCCCGCAGATCTAAAAGAGACAATAAAGGAGGGATTAGGGGTTTTTCAATCACATGATTCTGAAAAGCTCATCCGACAAAACCTCGCACCTTCAAAGCCTCGGTGTTTGGTTATTAGGAACAGCCATTGCTTTTCAGCATGGCTGGATAAGCAACTGCCAGGTACAGGAATTTGTATCTAATGAAAGGAACTTTGACTCTTGAAAGCTAATACCTAGAGATATAAAATTTCCGGAAACTTTGAAGCTCGGAAAAAAACCCGTTTTTTTCCCCCTTTTTTTCTGGGGGGAAACGGAAATTTTCGGAAAAATTGAAAAAAATGCCACATTAGCATTTCTTTTGTCTTTTCTAGACTGAAAGTCATTCTGTTACTTTAGGAACATAAAACATGACTATGGACATTTTTACTTGGCATGAAATTATCAAAACTAGCATATTAAAAATATAGTGCATCCAAACAATTATTTCAAACAGAATACCCACCCACATGCAAAAACAAAACTGAAACTTTTTTATTTTCTTCTGACAATCGCACCTCCTAAAGGAAGAAATGCATCTTGTTCTTGCATTGGAGAGTTCAGTTTGTAACCTAGGACTTGCTTGTCCTCAGTGCACAGAAATTAGATCAATCTGATACCATACATATTTTTTAGAAATGATTTGGAAAATATTTGAACACCTTGTCTTAAAATATTTTATTCATCATGTTAAAATAAAACGTTCCATAATCAATTTTTCCCCTTTTCTTTTTTCAATTTTTCGGGGAAAAAACAAAAAAGGCTTCAGGAAAAAAACGGGGGGGAAACGGTTTCCCCCTGAATTTTTCCGGGTTTTTTCCGGGCCTTCACATCTCTACTAATACCCTGCAAATCTTGTTGGTCTCTAAGGTGTTACTGGACTCCTATCTAGCTGTTCTACTGCAAACCAACACAGCTAGCCTCTGAAAAGAGTTTATGTTGCAATTCCTTCCTAAACAGCCAAAAAGAATTAAACCTTAACAATGGCTCCATACGAATCTTACACTCATTATAAACCCCAGACTTATTCTTCTTTCCTCACCTGATGTAGGCTAACAGTGTAATCTTAAACAGATATCCCAGTCTAAATAATAACAACAATAATAATCGTATGGCAGTGTATATAGTTTAGCCAGGAGATCCTAAGATTGTCTGGCATCCAGAAGTTCCAGCTCTTTTAGTGTTATGCACCACTAGGTGGGTAGACTTGTTTTAAAGGCACGAGACATTTCAGAGGTGGTTTACTATTGCTTGCCTCTGCTTCACGACCCTGGTATTCCTTGGAGGTCGCCGATCCAAATACTAGCCAGGACTGACCCTGCCTAGCTTCTGACTAGCCTGGACTATCCAGGTCAGTTACCCAGTCTAAGCCTATAGAAAATCAATGGAGTAATTATGCACAGAAGTACACGAGTAATTTATATAAGTGCAGTGGTAGAACTAGGGTGCCCCATGCAGCTTCTACCACACTATTGCCACCAGATAAATATGCAGCAGCAGAAGTGAGCTCCTTTCTCATCGCTGATTACTCTAAAGCAGCAAAGGCTCCCTATGAAATCTTCATCCTTCCAGTTCGAATTCAGACCATGACAAGTTACGTAGTGGTGGAAAGTGCCATCAAGTGGCAGCTGACTTATGGTGACCCTGTAGGGTTTTCAAGGCAAAAGATGGTCAGAGGTGGTTTGCCATTGCCTGCCCTCCTTGGAGGTCCCCCATCCAAATACTGGCCAGGGCCAATGCCGCTTAGCTGACGAGATCGGGCTAGCCTAGGCTATCCAGGTCAGGGTGGCAAGATACATAAACACAGGCAAATAACAAGAAAGCATACAAGTGAAGAGGGTATGTAAGTATCTAGCCTGTAGTCTCTTAAAACCCTGACCTGGATAGCCCAGGCTCACCTGATCTCGTCAGAATTCGGAAGCTAGGCAGGGTTGGCCGTGGCTAAGAACTGAAAGGGTGACTTCCAAGGAATACCAGGGCCATGATGTAGAGGCTAGCAATGGCATACCACCTCTGAATCGCCTCTTGTCTAAAAACAAGTCTAGTTCGCCATCTCGTGGTGCATAACACTAAAGAGCTAGAACTTCCAGCTGCCAGACAATCTTAGGATCTCCTGGCTACACTACACACTATTCCATATGACAATTAATTTTCTTAAATCCATCCTCAAATAATATTTTAGCAACATGAACGATCTCAAAAACTTTTCAGTTTCACGGGAAAGGTTTTCCAGTCGCCCACTGTGAGATCAACATGCCCAAGGTCACAACTGTCATTTTGGGTTCTCCCTTCAATCACGTTTTGCAAAGCCTTTAATCACGTTTTGCTGCTGCTATGAATGAGGCAACGGTTTCCAGTCTGGTTTCACAGACAACTAACCAGAGGTGAGTGAAAAAGAAGGCCTTGCTCCGTTACCAGGATTCCAATCACTACCCCCAATCCCAAAGAGCTCCGTTTTATTTTACAGTAGCAAATGGTTTACATTTTCAGCAGAATAATACACAACTTGAGGTACCACAGTGTTATTTATGTCCATTGTTCATACACAATGGGCTTGTCTGAATGGGCAGCCAAAGATACTTTCCTCCAGCATAAGTAGCCTTCTTTCTACTTAAGTGGCTCTTTTTCCAATTCAAGAGCTACTTGTCGGAAGAAGGCACCTTAGGCAGGAGGAAGTTTTGCTCAGTGGAGTGGTAGGGTAAGGACAGGATCCACCTCACTAGCTCCTGTCCCATGGGTGGAAAGAGAAGTGCTCCCCATTGGACTGAGCTACTGTTATCTCAAAAGGCAGATCTGAGAGCAGACGCTGGGTAGAGAACATAATGCTGAAGCAATTTTTATTAGCAGTTACGAGACCTGAGGGGTTTCCTGATTCCTATGGAAGGTTATAAGAACGTAAGAACATAAGAGAAGACAATGTTGGATCAGGCCAATGGCCCATCCAGGCCAACACTCTGTCACACAGTGGCCAAAAATACCAGGTGTCATCAGGAGGTCCACCAGTGGGGCCAGGACACTAGAAGCCCTCCCACTGTTGCCCCCCCCCCCCAGCACAAAGAATATGGAGCATCACTTGCCCCAGGCTGAGAGTTCCTATCTATACCTTGTGGCTAATAGCCACTGATGGACCTCTGCTTCATATGTTTATCCAATTCCCTCTTGAAGCCGTCCATGCTTGTAGCCGCCACCACCTCCTGTGCCAGTGAATTCCATGTGTTAATCACTCTTTGGGTGAAGAAGTACTTCCTTTTATCTGTTCTAACCCGACTGCTCAGCAATTTCATGGAGTGCCCATGAGTTCTTGTGTTGTGAGAAAGGGAGAAAGTTACTTCTTTCTCTACCTGCTGTATCCCATGCATAATCTTATAATTAATCCACTCGCGAGAACAACTCAACAACAGGCTGCCCAAGGGAACTAAGCACCCCCTTCCACCGCTTACTTACAGCGCATCACCGTCTCTTTGACCTGCCCAAAGCCTTTCTCCTGGACCGTAACGTTGATGTAATAGATGCATTTGAGCTCCCTCGGATAGTCTCTGCGGTCAATGTCCTTCAGCACAGGGATGATGCGCCCATTGGCCATCGGCGCCTCCATCAAGGCCTGATGCATTTGGTACACACACCAAGGATCCTTGAGGAACCTGGAGGTGATGAACAGCACCCAGCAATGGCTGTTCTGGACAGCCTCACACAGTTCCGAAACCATGGCGCCCCCTGGGACCGCATCCCGCAACTGAAGAAAGCAACGGAAGCACTCAGGTTGGCTCTCCAAGTAGTAGACCATCTGCTCCACAAATTCGAGGTCCCCCTCGCTGTGGCAGATGCACACGTCATACAGTTTCTTCCAGCGTGCGCTGTCGGAGCTGCTGATGTTCACGTGGAAGGTGGAGGATGTCTGTTTGGCGCTATTCACCGAACTGCTGGCTAGAGAGTTCGAGCCCTGCCCCTGATGAGGAGAGGGCGAAGGTGGAGAAGCATTGTCCGCAGAGCTCCTTGAAGAGTTTGAACTTTGCCTGGACTTCCGTGGGAGCCACTTGAACAAGCCTACCAAGATACCAGTAAAGAATGAGATGAAACGAACTGGGATAATATAAGAACCATCTCGCTAAACCACATTGAGATCCATGTCCTGTTTGCAACAACAGCCCGCCCAACCCTTCTGGAAGTTCCCAAGTAGGACACGGTGATGATGATCACCTCATTTGCCCCTAGCACCTGGTAACCAGCACATCACTCCTGTACACGGAGCTGTTGAAATAAATCTGAAGGCTTTCACAGCTGAGGATTTATGTGCATGCATATGGATGTTGGCACTAAGCCTTCATATTCTCTTCCTAGAATTCTAGCTTTAACAAGGCAAACACCTTCCAGAGAAAGGGCCTAGAAGAGCACCTGTAATCATGACACCACCCAAGTTTGGGACAGGCCATACATGCTGTCCAAGATCTGTACAATGAAGTACCACCTATTCCCCCCCATACCATATAGCAGTGATGGTGAACCTTTTAGAGATCGAGTGCCCAAATTGCGACCCAAAACCCACTTATTTATCGCAAAGTGCCAATACGGCAATTTAACCTGAATACTGAGGTTTTGCTTTAGAAAAAACAACTCATACATTAACTTAAGATGATCCAAACAAAGTAAGGGAAGCAATCCCAAATGCTTTCATTTACTTAAAATTATTTGGCAGAGAATTCCACAGTTTAATGACGGTCTGGGCCTGGCTGGGGCGATGGCACGCATGCCCACAGAGAGGACTCTGAGTGCCACCTCTGGCACCCGTGCCATAGGTTCGCCACCACTGCCATATAGCATAGTAAATATAATCACAAACAAACCACATGTAATCCTATAAAAAAACCCTCCCCAACACAGCCCATCGACAGAAATGCAAGTAAGAGAAAAGGAAAAAGAGAAAGAGAGAGGTACACATGCAGGCAGCTGAGAGTAGAGATTAGAGAGAGAGAATGGGGGGAGGGGAGAGGCAGCAATATGGATCCAACTAAACAAGTAATGGAGGTAAGCCATCACTGCTCAAAGAGTTACAAGAAACCTTGCCGGATGGAAGTGAAGCTCTCACTAGCTTCTCATCTGCTGTATGCGATTCTCTCCCTTATACAGAGATCTAGCAATATCACAGACCCAGTCGTCTATGGTGTGTGTGTGTGAGATTTCCAGTGCTGCAAGATAATTCCCTTGGCAACCAAGACTTTGAATCCATAACGTGATGCTTGGGCAGTGCTCATAGAGATGGTATGTCACCTAGGCGTCAGATTATTAACTGTGAGGCTCAGTTTGGTAGATAACACAAGATTAATTCTAGATATAGCATCTTGTCAGAAAATGTGCAATTTTGGGACACCTCCCAGATTGCGTGGACCAGACTGGCTCTAAATATCAGTCTCAGGAAGATGTAGGTGGCTAATTCAAGCAGGATATCAGTATAAAAGAGGAGTTTGGGGGTACATAAACCCTAGATGTAAATCCAGGGTAGCAGATATAACTGATTTAAGTGCATTTTGCCATCGGGACAAATGGATTGGGGTATTTAGTTGCAAGTTCCGCTGGGAATGGAGGGATCAAGAGTATGTCTTGTTTGGCTTCTAAAAAGTTGATATATAATAGTAGTATGTCTACAGAGAATTTCTGAGGACTGGAGCAGAGAGGGGGGGGGGTGGCTTCCAAAGATGCAAATGCCCTAGGAGCAAAAACAGAGGTCAGACAATGTTTTAACTAAGTATATGGCCAACTACAGCTATTGGACTAAATTCTGTGCACAGAGATGAAGGGTTTGAAACGATCGTTTAGGCCAATCAACAGAGAAAAGAACACTAGACCGCTAGATACCCAGAGTTTCCAACATATACCCTTGTTGGACCCCATCTTAATCGGGGGAATTTCCCAAATAGATCCTTTTGCGTGCATCAGTCGAAGTCCAGTGGAGTGTGTCCCACCTAATAGACCAAAAAGCCATGTGCAACAGAAAGTGCTGCCTACTCACCAGCCATATCAGGACTAAGTTTCAGGTGAGAAGCATCTGCGTCTCTCTTCCTTTGCAAGTCAACGGGTCAGAAAAAAGGCTTGAGAAGGGATGTCCCGTTCCCCCGCTTACACCGGAACTTAACTCAGGTCAACTCTTGCTGTATCTGGGGTAACATCAAAAGAATGAAAGCAAACTCAGATTCAAATTGACTGGCTTAAATTAAGTCCACAAAGCGTAGTCCAAAATGAACACACACTGGGGGAGAGTGGCAGCACTGTATGAATTGCAGCTTTCAAACCAGAGCCTAGTGATTTGATCCCAACCCACCACACTACTCCCTTATCTATCGCCAAAAACTAATCCCTACACAAAGGCAAAGGCAGGAAAAAAGCATAGGCTATAGGGCCCAACATGTAACATGTGGCTTTTAGGCAATGTTAGAAAAAATGTGGACTGTGTACAGATACATTAATGCCCTTGTGTTTTGTAAAAATTTCCAGTTGCAGAAATGATTTTGAGAATACCACTGATTGTAGACAATCAAAAGCAGATTAAAAGCCCCAAATCAGTTATTAGTAACATGGTGAACTGATGCATGTACTGCTGTATCTAATACTAACTGGATGGTCTCTGCATGGATAACAAAAGCTGCCTAACAGGGCCATACACAGACAAAATAGGGATCTTGATCTACTTGTGGGTCTCCACTAACCACAAGCAAGGGCATTGTTTGGCTACAAGGATAAAGAGGAGACAGCCATCACCCTGCTCAAACCTCTGATACCTTAGAGCACTGTTTCCCAACCTGTGGGTCAGGAGGACCCAGAGGTGGGTCAAGGGCCAGCCCTGCCTACTGACTGCCTCTGTCCTTTCCATTGCTCTCTTTTCTATATTGGAAACCAAGATGTGACCCTAGAAACAGTATTTTCCATCTTATAAATTAGTTGGTGTTTTTTTCTTCTTCGCTCCATATCCGTGTTCATGAAATAAAACATTTCCAGGTGGTTACTAGACTGAGATTCTCAGAATGTTAGGGGGGGTTAGAGGGAGTAATGGAGAAGGAGAGGATGGTCAGGGGCTGGAATGTAACCTCACATGCAAAGGCTGAGTATGTTGGAATGTCACTTGCTTAGGATTCATAGTGTTGGGAATTGCTGTCTTAGAGAATCCTGGGTGGAGACATTAGGGGATGGGTTGGGAAGTTCCTAACTGTTCCCCTTTCTCACTGGCGATTCCTTGTGAGTCCCCAGCTTAACTTAACAATACTAAGAACGTACGATTGAAATGAACACAGCCATTCTTGCCTTTTACATCCATGCTTCCATCTCCCACTGTTAAGTTTTTCATGGTGGAGATCTTCCTCCTCTGTACAATAGTCTGTAAGCCACTGTGCACGCTGATGGTGCTATATAAATGAGAAATGATAGCCCTGTGTGTTTGCTTGGCAAATACTAGTCTCCTTATCCCAGAAAAGAAAAGCTGAATGGCCTTTTACTGGGTTGTCATCATTTGCTACGAGTAGGTGATGCTCACTGCCTCCTATCCATAGATTCAGAAATACCACACATACACACCTGAAGCAGCCTTATAATGAATCAGACCATCAGTCCACCAAGGTCAGTATTGTCTACTCAGACTGGCAATGGCTCTCCAGGGTCTCAGGCTGAGGTCTTTCACATCACCTAGTACCTGGTCTTTTTTAACTGGAGATGCCAGGGATTGAAAGTGGGGCCTTCTGCACACAAACCAGAGGTTCTTCCACCAAGCCACAGTCCTCCTCAAAAGTGCTGAATGAGGACTGAACATTCATGAACACAAGAAGCTGCCTTATACTGAATCAGACCACTGGTGCATCAAGGTCAGTATTGTCTACTCAGATTGTCAGCGGCTTTCTGTTAGGACTGAGGTCCAATGCACGAAGCCAGCAATTACAGCATGATCAAACATACATCAGTGGCTCTTGGCCAATCACTTCTAAGCTAAAAGCCCGCCAAACTAATGCTCTAAGGTTCCCAGGGAAAAGGGGATACTAAAGACAGCGCAGGTCTCAAGGTTACATGGCTATGCCAGACACCAGACAGATAATGGCCAGAAACGAAACTATAAATTCCAGTTCACACACGCACACCTCCACCTCTCCATGGCAACCAAGCTCCAGACAGGTGCTTTTGGTTGACAGCTGAGGTTTTTCACATCACCTACTGCCTGGTCTTTTTAAAATGGAGATGCTGGGGATTGAACCTGGGACCTTCTGCACACAAAGCACAGGCTCTTCCACTGAGCCACAGCCCCTCTAAAAGGTCTAGAAACTGGCTAGTTCCACTAGATTTTCTGCAGTCTAAGCTGACAGAACCATTAAGAAGAAGAAGAGGAGATTGGATTTATACCCCACCCTTCACTACCCAAAGGAGTCTCAGAGTGGCTTACAATCTCCTTTCCTTTCCCCTCCCCGCAACAGTCACCCTGTGAGGTGGGTGGGGCTGAGAGAGCTCTGACAGAGACTGCTCTTTTTCAAAGACAGCTGTGCCAAAACTATGGCTTGCCCAAGGTCATCCACCTGCTGCAAGTGGAAGAGTAGGGAATTAAACCTGGTTCTCCCAGATTAGAGTCCGCACACTTAACCACGACACCAAAACTGTCCAGGGAGACTAACAGTATTGAGGAGACCAGAGTCCAAGCCCCCACCTCTGCTACTGTGTACACCTGCCATTCGGACATAGAACCTGAGGAACCATCAAGAGGACCTCCTCATTCATGGGACGTAAGGGAGGAGGGACAGTCTTTGAGGCCATAAGGGGCCCAAGCGATTCAGAACTTTCCAAGCCAGTTCCTTGTATAAGGTTTGAGCGATAGCAAGGAGCCAGGGGAAACCCTGGCAAAACTAGTATCACATGCCCTTCAGCAACAGTTCACATTTCACAGAACAGGGGCTACTGCATTCTGTACGAGCTAAATCTTCTAAACAGTTCTCGGGGCAGCCCCATGGGAAGCAAGTGGCAGTAGTAAGGTTAGATGTGCGCGAATGATTCCTGTTAAGCTAGGGATGCCAACCTCCAGGTGGGACCTGGGAACCCCCCAGAATTACAGCTCATCTCCAGGCTACAGAGATCAGTTCTCCTGGAGAAAATGGATCCTTTGGAGGGTGGACTCTATGGGACTGTAACCCACTGTGGTCCCTGTCTTCTTCAGGCTCCATCCCCAAATCTCCAGACGTTTCCCAACTTGGATCTGGCAACCCTATTGCCTCATCCCCGGCTGTCCCCGGAGGAGGCCTGGGAACACTATGTGTTGGGTGTTACAAGTTAGAACACTGTTCAGTATTTACTGGGTTAATGATGTCTGTTAAATCACATGTTTGTTTGTAACCAATAAGTTTGGAGAGCTAGAAAGCCCGGTAACTTCAGATCTAGTTTGTTGTTCTGATTGGAGACTAGAGTGCCAAGTATTAGCATTTTATGGCTCTTTGTCCTGAGCAAGAAGAAGTTAGTCTCCATTGCTCTTCTGCCATGTTCTGTCTAGCTGTAAGGATGTAGGAATATAGCTCTTTGTTATTTTACATCCCGTATACCTTTTCCCCATGCTAGGTTGTAGTAAACTTTTATATTTAAACACACCATGGACTCGGCCTCTTTAATACTCTGCTGAATGCTGATTACTCTGCTGATTTACTTTAAGAAATTAAATAAGAATAACCCAACACTATGGCTGCGATCACACACACTAAACAATCCACTTTCAGTGCGCTTTCCAACTGGATTTTGCCAGTTCACACAGTTGGAAAGCGCATTGAAAGTGGACTCAGAGTGGATTACTGAGTGTGTGTGATTGCAGCCTATCTTGCACTTTTGTCAGACTGAAGATCACAGCCTTCCCGTCAGGAACGAAACACATACCTGACCATTGTCAAAAACTTGGGGGCACCGCCTCTGCTCACCATGGACCGCCAACCTGGTTGACCCTGTGGGCATTTCCAAAATTTTGAAAAAAGGTAGCAGGACCAATTACAAAACGGTGGGAGGTCCCACGTCACGGGTTCTTTGACAATGGAGGAGGCTGTTTCTGAATGGGGGTTACCTAGCAACCCAAAGGTGACGCCTCCTGAGCTCTTCCCAGGTACCTCCTGCTCCAAGGAGGCAGGGGAACAGAAAGAGTTAGGGGGAAAGCAGTGGGTGACAGGAAATATATCAAGAAGCTTCCATGACACTCTTTTGGAGACCACCATTCCACATACACGCCAGTCTCCTATGTCTTTAGCTGTGCAACCAACAGAAATCCAACAGACTGAAACTTCTCCTTTTCTGTCCATATCACTTCACTCCCCACCAAAAATCAAAACAAAATACAAACTTGCAGGTGCAGCAACAGAGAACGCTTCTCTTGCACAATTTCCCCTGGAAACATCACTTTGTTAAAGGCCAGAAGTTGGCAACTTAAACTCACAGACAAGGATGCAGAAGGGGTTTAAGAACGAAGTTTGAGTCCAGTGGCACCGTTCAGACCAGCAAAGTATTATTCAAGGTTATCTGTGTGCAAGCACACTTCTTCAGAGACTTTGCTGGTCTTAAAGGTGCCACTGAACTCAGACTTCGTTCAGCTGCTTCAAACCACCACCTGAATCTAAGGGGACTCTCCGTGTCTTTCTTAACACCGCTTTGCCGAACTCCAAGATTCCCCACCCCTTAAAAATAGGGATTTAAGAAAAGAGATGAAATGAACGGGATACATTCCAGCCACTGACCCCGCCCCAACTCCAAACGTTACTTTCTTTCCCCTACTTGCCTGTTGGGAACAAAGCAGAAGCTGAAAAGCAGACACAGTTCTATTTTTTAAAACAAAACAGACCCCTTGACAGTATCGTCCTATGTAGAGTTACTGCTGAGCCGGACTGCGCCCGCAGCGATCAGTAGGTTCCTCCTGGAGTAAAAGTCTGCACAGAACTCCGCTTCCAACGGAGTCAGATTCCCTGAGGAGAGATCTTCCCAGGATCATCTCTCCCCACCCACCATGAAAAGGAACTGCAATCTCGACCTGGCCAGAAAGACTCCCCAGTTCAGAGTCGATTAGATATCTGCAGCCTCCCAGCTACGCTCCGAAGGGGTGAGATCCAGCTCCATTCACGCCCTGTGTGCATTTTGCGGCTCCCTTTCGAAAGCGGCACCTGTTGCACCCGGAAAACCCTGCAGCACCCGTCTACTCTTCCGGTCTGCAGCTCCTGCGCAACCCTGACCACTTTTCTTTTTTGGCATTTTTAATTGCGAAAATACACGAACATAAAGCAATTTAAACCACACGTCACACAGGCGCGACATACATGGGGGGGGGGGGGACACCACGCATTCCTTTAGCGGTAAAGTTAAAGCGATTTTTTAAAAAAGTTACCGGCCACGGGTGGACGCCAAGCGGGAAACCGGATCAGCTTTTCAGGTGGCAGCGAGGAGTTGGCAAACTCACTCTTCCTGAGTTTGCAAGAAGGAAGCAGCTGCTCAACTCGGGGCTTGTCTGGGCAACCCACAGTGCCGCCTCCGCTCTTGGCAACGCCTGGAGGCCGCAGACGTGGGGGAAAGAGCGTGTGGGTCAGCCGGAAGATGCAGAAAGAGCCGGCATTTCCTCCGCAGTTTTGTGGGTGGAAAAAGAGAACTCTTCTGTGTCGCTGGAATTCGCATCGGATTTCTTCTCCAATTGGGAGGCGGAGTCGAGGAGATCCGTCTGGATCGGGCGCTGCCGCTCCTCTTTAAAAAAAAGCGATCTCAACCGATTCCACTGACTTCAGCCGCCTTTGCAGCCTACAAGACGGGAATACACGAACACTTGTGAGCCTTGCGCGCTCCTGCACTGGCGGGGGTATTTTCAACAGAGAGTAGCGGCGTGCTTCGGGGATATGGAGTTCCCACGTTGAAGATTACTGCCGGGGGGGGGACGCCGCGTTAATCCGTTGCGCGCACCCAAAATGGCCAGGAATCGTAGCGAAAATTACAGATCACTAACATTTTACCGCGTAAATCTTGAATTAATGAATACTGCCTCCGACGAACTGCGCTGTGCCCTATGTTAGTCTTTCCTTCATGTGCTGGCAAAGAGTCCCAGCTGGAGAAACCGCCCCGTGCTGGATGAGCCTTTCTACAATTCCGTTTAGCGAATCGGGAGATGCTCCAAAGCCACACACACACCCCGGAAATCACCATTACTTTGAGTCAGCACTCAGTCGAAACTGCAGGCGGCAAGATCTACGACGAGGCGCGAGGAGCGCAGTTGGTCCTTAGCCATGGCTCTTTAAGGAGCACCTCTTCGGCCCTTCTAGAGGCAAAACCACTCCTCGCGCCTCGTCTCCCGTTGGCGGTAGCTCATAAGAACATAAGAGATGCCAATGTTGGATCAGGCCAAAGGCCCATCCAGCCCAACACTCTGGGTCACACAGTGGCCAGAAATACCAGGTGCCATCAGGAGGTCCACCAGTGGGGCCAGGACACTAGAAGCCCTCCCACTGTTGACCCCCCCCCCCAAGCACCAAGATGACAGAGCATCACTTGCCCCAGAGTCCCTATCTATACTTCGTGGCTAATAGCCACTGATGGACCAGAGGGGTAAGTCCATTGCAGGAAAAAGTAATATGGCTGTTGGGGCACTTCGGTGTTTTCATTCAGTACCTGACCAGTAGTGGCAAGTTCGTCAATTAAACTGAACATTTCTGCGGGAATGTCTGCATTCCCATCCGTCTGAAGCCTGGGCTGCTCTCCCACCAGATTTTCCGTGGCTGTCTCACTGCTGATGTGGTTCTGTGTAAAATCACACGTGCAACAGACAGCCCCTGGGTAATCCATTTTTTCCTACACTTTTAGCAGTGGTTTCCTTTTCACACCTGCTGTGCATTGCAGGCCCCCACCCCCAAGATTCCCTGCCAACCCTGTTTTAATTTTTGGTTTTATTTTGAGGAGCCAGGGAAACACAGGACTGCATAGGAATAATGCAACACCCTTAACTTCCACATATCCGTGAACACCTCCACGACCCCCTCCCTAAACAGTAAACAAAGAAAGAATAAAAGGTAAAGGTTCCCTTGCTCGAAAGCCAGTCGAATCCGACTCTAGGGTTGCGGTGCTCATCTCCGTTTCAAAGCCGAAGAGCCAGCGCTGTCCGAAGACGTTTCCATGGTCTGGTGGCCGGCATGACTAAACACCAAGGCGCACGGAACGCTGTTACCTTCCCACCAAAGTGGTACCTATTTATCTACTTGCAATTTCTTGCTTTTGAACTGCTAGGTTGGCAGGAGCTGGAACTAGAGACGGGAGCTCACTCTGTCATGCAGCACACTCGGGTCTGGAACTGACATGCAAAAGATACAGCATCCCACTTCCACACTGAGCTTGCTCAGAAAGTAACTAAGTAACACTCATATGTAACAGCATTACCCTCCACCCTTTAAAGAGGCCAATTGGAAGTAGTCAAGGGTGGATGGTTATCATACACAGAATGGACACACTTGGTTGGTAGCGTGCCTTGTGGCTTCAATAATCTTTAACTACAGTAATTACTTACAGGGATGAATGACAGCACCTTAGGGGGCTCCAGATCACCAGGAGCTCACTCTGTCATGCGGCAACTCGGGTCTCAAATTGACATACAAAAGATACAGCATCTCACCTCCACACTGTGTTTGCTCAGAAAGTAACTAAGTAGCACTCATATGTAACAGAATTACCCTCTGCCCTTTAAAGAGGCCAATTGGAAGTAGGCAAGGGTGGATGGTTATCATACACAGAATGGACACACTTGGTTGGTGGCGTGCCTTGTGGCTTCAATAATCTTTAACTACAGTAATTACTTACAGGGATGAATTACAGCACCTTAGGGGGCTCCAGATCACTAACAGTAGGAATTATATAACTGCTTTTAGTAGGCACACATTGGAAGCTTCAAGCTGGATCAGAAAAGCCAGGCATTGGCTTCTATGCTGGCGTCACTGGGATCTATAATGTTAAAATCAGGAGCTGGCCTCATACGTTTCAAACTTTACCTTCTAGTCCTGAACTCATTTGAGGATTACAGCCCAACACAAGAAAAAGCATCCTACCAGGCCGAGAAAGTTACACACTACATCAGTGGTCCCCTACAGGCGTTTGGAATTTTGACACAACGTGATGGGCACTGCCACAGGAGACAGAGCCAGCCATAAAATGGCTACCACAGCTTACCTTCAGTCAGACAGTGAAGATCCTTGTGCTGTGGAAGCAGTTGCAGCCAAAGCAACCTTTTTAAAAAAAAAACACAGGCAAATCTCCAATGGCCAATCAGAAGCCTTGCTGGGCAAAAGCCCCACCCCCTTTCTACAACCACTTGGTGGGCACCAGAACATGTGTCAGCGGGCAACACATCAGGGATCTCTTCACTACATGCTCTGAATACAATTATCAACCCTAAGTTGGGTTAGAGAGTGCCTCTAGAGTAGGTAGATTGGAGCTGGCCAGAAAGCCTAGAGAAGAAAAACACCCGATTTTCTGCTTCCCTCTCTGTGATGTAAGGAACAAGACCACTGCAGATGACTATTTGGAGGAGTTGTGGTGAAGTTGCATTTTGGCAGCACAGTATGTGTACAGGAAACTTGGATCATCCTTCTTTTCCTCCTCCCAACAATGCTTTTGGTGGCCGTGCTTTGTTACGCCTTTTGTCCAGCTACTGACAGCATGCTACCCTTCCAGATGAATGCTCCCCACCCAAAACATGAGCAGAACTATTACAGGTCTTGGTTTTTGAAAGATGAAAGGGGCCTGAAAGGAGCTTTGCTTGCCCCTGAGGTCCACCCACAGCATCAGCTCTGCTCAAAACGCTGAAGCCCTTTGTAAACACCCCTCTTCCACAATGCTTTTAAGCTCCCTGGAAGAGCATAAGATGCTGTAAAGGTAAAAGGCAAAGGTTTCCCTTGCTTGAAAACCAGTCAAATCCGACTATAGGGGTCGGTGCTCATCTCTGTTTCCTAGCCGAAGAGCCAGCACTGTCCAAAGACTTCTCCGTGGTCATGTGACCAGCGTGACTAGATTCCAAGGTGCACGAAAATCTGATACCTTCCCACCTAAGTGGTACCTTATTTATGTACTTGCAATTTCTTGCTTTTGAACTACTAGGTTGGCAGGAGCTGGGGTCAGAGCTGGGAGCTCACTCTGCCACGCAGCACTCGGGTCTCGAACTGCCAAGCTACAGACCTTCCAGTCCACAGCTCAGCGTCTTAACCTCTGAGCCACCATGGCCTGACAAAGGTATAAAGATCAGGACCCCCCCCCCTAATATCCAACCAGTTAAAGAGATAAGAACATAAAAGAAGCCAATGTTGAATTAGACCAGTGGCCCATCCAGTCCAACACTCTGTCACACACTGGCCAAAAATACCAGGTGCCATCAGGAGGTCCAGCAGGGGGGCCAGGATACTAGAACCCCCTCACTGTTGCCCTCCCCAAGTACCAAGACTACAGAGCATCACTTGCCCCAGACCGAGAGTTCCTATCTGGACCTTGTGGCTGATAGCCACTGATGGACCTCTGCTCCATGTTTATCCAATTCTCTCTTAAAGCCATCCATGCTTGTAGCCGCCACCTCCTGTGGCAGTGAATTCCATGTGTTAATCACTCTTTGGGTGAAGGAGTACTCCCTTTTATCTGTTCTAACCTGACTGCTCAGCAATTTCATTGAGTGCCCAGAAGTTCTTGTACTGTGAGAAAGGGAGAAAAGTACTTTCTCTACCTGCTCTACCCCATGCATAATCTTAAAAATATCATGTCACCCCTCAGTCATGTTTCTCCAAGCTAAAGAGCCCCAAGCACTTTAACCTTTTTTCACAGGGAAAGTGTCCCAAACCGAAAGTGTTCCAACCCTTTTATCATTCTAGTGCCCTTTTCTGCACTTTTTCCAATGCTATAACATCCTTTCTGAGGTGTAGTGACCAGAACTGCACACAGTATTCCAAATGAGATTGCATAATTGATTTATACAGGGGCAGTATGATACTAGCTGATTTGTTTTGAATTCCCTTCCTAATAATCCCCAGCATAGCATTGGCCTTTTTTATTGCAGTCGCATGATGTCTTGAAATTTTCAGTGAGTTATCTACTACAACTCCAAGATCTCTCTCGGTCAGTCTCTGCCAGTTTGGACTCCATCAACCTGTATTTTTGGCCCCAATGTGCACCACTTTGCACATGAGAACACACAAGCTTGCATAGTCTGCTGCATTACTTCAGCTGTGTCCTAATAAAGGCCTTTCTTTCTGAAAGAACTGTTGTCTACCCCAGGGAGAATAAGTGATGATCTGCTACAAGCTTTTAAAAACATGATTTTATCTGTCCTCAAGCCTAAAAAGGCTCAAGTCTACAACAGTATACCCAATTATTTCCATGTCCCACTGGGATTGCTTCTGCGTAAATGTGCATAGGATTATGCTGTGATATCAATTGGCGGAAATCCTCCATTGGGGACCAAGAGCAGCAGTTGCCAGTCCTATGAAGTCTCTTGCTTCAAAATCAAGGACTGATTTTAACAGTCTCCAAAAACTGTACATAGCGCGATACAAAATGCAACCCGTTAGCATGCTGTGCTTCTTTCCTTCTGAAGAAAAAAAAAGATCTTCTGGTCTTGCAAGGTAGGCACTGACACCTTCTCGACTGTCTCCATGCCAGCAGATCAAGGGCTTCATGAAAACTAGGGGTCGCCAGCCATCAGACATTCTATTTCGCTATCTGGGATCCAGCCCGTGCATTAACAGAAGCAAAACTTCACTCTTTGGCAGCATCTGATAAATCCAGGCTTCCAGCTGATTGCCGTTAATCAGCAGTGTGGTCAAGGACCAGCTGGAAGGGAGGGCGCGTTTTCCCCTGCAAAGGAGTAAAATTATCAGTTGTTGTACAGAACTGAAAACTGGACCTCATTCTTTTGGAAAATCCTCCCCCAAAAGAGCTGAAAACACCTTTGAACTGGATCAGAACAAGGAGCATCGTTGCAGGGCAGGGGGCTGTCCTCAAACCTTCCAGACCCTAGATGCACGAAGCTGCAAATCTTAGACTCATGTGAGAGGCAGAGGGGGAGGAAGACTCAGAGAAAGGGACGTAGGTGGCAAGCCAAGGAGAGACCACCGAAGCTGAGCCCCAGGAGGCATTCTGCAATGAGGAACCAACCCAAAGGTCAGGGCTACAGAGGAATTGTTTCCCCTGCTGAGAGACCTGGTCACTCTTGTCTGCGTGCACGCAAGACAGGCAGGAGGGGTGGCACTCTTGCTCACTAGGCCTCTGCACTAGCAGCAGGTCTTTCCAAAAGGCAAGAGAAAAGTGCCCCTGTAAATGTAGTGGTCCTCCACCTTCTCGAGCCAGTGGGCATCTTGGGAATCGTGGCACAGGATGTTGGGTGCAACTGCAAAACGGCCACTGCGGGAGGCAAAGCCACGCACACCGGAAGCCCAAGAGCAGGGGGGAAAGAAGGGTAATGTAAAAAATATGGCCTGAAAGAAGAGATTGGATTTATACCCCATCCTTCACTTGGAATCTCAGATCAGTTTACAATCCCCTTCCCCTCCCCACAACAGACATCCTGTGAGGTAGGTGGGGCTGAGAGAGCTCTGAGAGAACAGCTCCGAGAGAACTTGTAATTGAGCCAAGGTCACGCCAGCAGCTGCATGTGGAGGAGTAGGGAATCAAACCCGGTTCTTCCAGATTAGAGTCCAAACTACACCAAACTGGCTCGGAGTGAGAGAGAATAAAACCAACTCCATGCTGGTAGCTGTTGCTGAAACAATGCTGTTTTAATCTCCACAGCCAATCAGAAGCCCTGCTGAGGAAGAATCCCAACTGGCCCCACCCACTTTCTAAAAACACCTGGGCACCAGGAAAGGTGCCAGAGGGTTCCATGGTGCCCCCAGACACCACGTTGGGGATGCCTGCTGTAACAGCTCTGTGGCTCAGCAGCAATGGCCTTGGTCTCCCAGTGTTGCCTTGACAAATGCTGAGAGATTGGGGGGGGGGGAGTGCAGTGCCTGGGGAGGGCAGAGCTTGAGGAAGATGCATCGTTACTCCTCAGTGATACTCTAGGCTGCTTTTCCCATACTCTCTATGGTCCTGAACACAGAGACTAGGAGGAATTCCTACAGCACCCCCTCTCCTGTTCCTCAATTCCACAGGGGCAGGGAATTAGGGTTGGGGACTTGCAATTCCCTGCCCTGGGCAGGTAAATGGGAGACCTACGATGGCTCCATAACTCACTTGATGTTCCCAACCCCGGAGGTGGAGCATGCTACGTAACAGCACACAACGTTAGGCTCAAAGCAAAGAGGTATTTTTGAAGTCACTAACGCAGGGGGAAAGGGGAGGGAGAGCAAAGGCTGGCGGGACCCACCATCAGAGCCTGTTCCTCCCAGTTTTCTGGCCCCGCTAGATGATGTTCTTCTCCAGAATTTGTTCGCCTTTGATGAGCCTGTCGAAGGAGAATCTCCCGAGGTCGATGGTCTTGTACTCTCCCTCCAGGATGAGCTCAGTGATGCATTTGCCCACGGCCAGGGAATGCTGCAGTCCATGCCCACTGAATCCAGAGGCAAAATAGAGGTTCCCTACGAGGGGGTGCGCGCCAATCACAGGGTTCTGATCAAAGGTGTTGTAGTCATAGTAGCCAGCCCAGGAACTCTTCACCTGCAAGAGATTAAACGAAAGAAGTAAAAAATCAAGTCCTTGCCAAGGAAAGGCCACAGGCCAAGACTGGCAGAGGAAGAGGTGCTCTCTTGGAACACACAAATGAGCTTTACTGACTGGGCTGCCCTGGGGATGGAGAATTCACTATTCTATTGATTAACTAAATCCTGGCCAGCTGTTGCAGGCTGAAAACATACTTAAGCAACAATGTGAGCAATCAATAAAAGGCTGTGGCAGCTACTCACAAACGACAGAACTAGAAAAGCCTGAGCAGTTTGAGCCTCTCAACTCGTTTTACAATTTCTACCCCAAAACATGCTTTGTAGGACAAGTTTTAAAGGTCCTAAATGTTTTAGGCCTACTTTTCTCCTCTTGCTTGGCTTTAATAGTTCATTCTTACAGCTTTTATGGTGCTTTGTTCTTGTGTTTTACTTTGTAAGCCCCCTCGATAAGGCTCTATGGAGAAGACAGCATAGAAACTATCTCAATAAATAATATAAACAAAGGCCCGAGAGATCATGTCGTTTTATTACAGCTGCCCAAAGAGTTCAATAGTCCAAGGGTCTATTTATCCTGCCGTTTAAATATCAAACACAAGATCCCAAACTGCCAGCCCCTTTGACTTCCCCAAGCTCTCCAGATCCAGCATATCAGCAGTAAGGGCCAGTTCACACATGTTCATTCACCAAACTGATTAATGAGCACTCAGCTACTTGCAAGTGAATGTGTGTATGAAAATGGCTGAAAAGCATCTTACAGCAAGAACTCTACCCGTGCTGTGGATTCAAGCAAGTCAGCCGCTGGAGGCGTCAAGTTCCACATGTGATCCAATCACCCCAATGTCAGAAATTCCCTGAAAAGGTAGAAGCCTCAAAGGATGCAGAGGAACCTAACAACAAAATTGTTCCTGACAACTATCCCTCCCACCCAACTGAGGACGGGAACAGGATGAGATATTGGTATTGTGTGGCTTGTGGGTACTGGATGTGCTGAAAAGGACTCCGATAACTCCCCCCCCCACCACCCCATAATGTCACTCATGCATATATAACCAGCTGAGCTCTCCACGTTAGGAACATCAGCATTTATAATACTGACCTAGCTAGCTCTGAAGTGGAAAAGGAGGACCAGAGCATCCATACAAGAAAGGCACAGACCACAAATCTACAGGCCCCAATGACCAAAACTATGATTTGAGAAGCAACACTGTTTGCAAGGGACCTTAGGAAGAAAGTTTCAGGGAAGGAGTTGGGGAGCCAGCCATTCATTATTTTACCTTTAGGGATTCAAAGGCAGGCACCCTGTGGGCCAGCTTGGGCCAGACTTTCTCTTGGAAGAACTCATGATCTACCTCCAGGTCCTGGATATCGGGCTCTTCATCCTGAGAAGGAAAGATAGACACTGTTTATTACCCACCCTTCACAGCAGACAGCAGCGTGGCCCTTTTGAAGACAGCAACAGTTTAAGCCTGGCTTGCGTCCGGAGCTTAGAAAAGCATGGCGTCTCCTTCAAAGAAGGTGGAGAACCAGACTCAACAACCTGTCCCCAAATTGCAGCAAGGAGCTCAAGCAGGCTTTGGCAGCATAAAGGTCAGCAAACCCAGACTGCTCCAGAATGGGACAGAAGAAGAATAGACTGGATCTATACGCCGCCCTTCAGTACCCGAAGGCGTCTCAGAGCGGCTTACAATCTCCTTTCCCCTCCCCACAACAGACACCCTGTGAGGTAGGTGGGGCTGAGAGAGCTCTCTCAAAAACTGCCCCCTTGAGAGAGCAGCTCTGAAAGAACTTATGACTGACCCAAGGCCACACCAGCAGATGCATGTGGAGGAGTGGGGAATCAAACCCGGTTCTCCCAGATTAGAGTCCGCGCTCTTAACCACTACACCAAACTGGCAGCATAGTGTAGCGGCTTGAGCAATGGGCTGTTGATCGTGGGGGTTCAAATCACAGCTCAGCTACACATATCAGTGGGGAACCCTGGGTCAGTTGCCATTTTGTGAAAACAAGGAATGATCCATATAAACCAGCCTGAGATTCTTGGGAGACTGGATTAAAAAAATTCTGGCCCTGCCCTATTCTTACGAGGCTGCTTTCCATCATGTGAGGAGAGAGATTAAGCTTCATCGGGAAGGGCTCTGGGAAGTGCATCCGCCACTTCCTTCCAGTGGTCGGCTCCCACAAAACCACAGCACACTCACCTCTGTGGGGCTTATGCTTCCAAGGTAGTTGCCACCTAGGCCTTCCCTGCGGAAGTAAGCTCCTGTGGTGTCAATTAACATGGGAGTCTCTAAGCCAGGCCCCTCGGGGCAGTTCCAGACATAGACATACCTGGGGACAAAAGAAAAACAACAAAATCTCAGTACCTAATAAAAACCCTGGGAGCATACTGGGTTCAGCTACAACCCAAGAGGGGGGGCAAAATTAGAGAGAAGCAGCACAGAGCCAGGCCTCAGTGCTGGTAAGAACTGCGATCCTTGCATTTCGATGATCATTTCCGCTCTTACCAATAGATGAAGTTGCCTCAAGGACTCTCCTCAGCAGAGACCCCAAGTGGCTTGCAGTGTTCTGTTCCCCTCCCTTTTATCCCCACCACAATCCTGTGGAGTAGCTTAGACTGAGAGTAGGTGACCGGCCCAAGGTCACCTTGCAAGCTTCTATGGCAGAGTGGGGATTCAAACCTGGGTCTCCCACATCATAGTCCAACACAGTAGGAGGAACAAATATTAGTTCTCTGACAAAATTAGTTCTTATGGGAACTACCGGTAATTAATATTGATCTTAGTGGACACCTTTTGATTCAATTAGTTGCTTATATCTTTGGTTTTATGGTTTTATTATCTTACATTTTACTCGATTTATACCAATATTCATATTTATAGTATTCTTCTCTGTGGTTTTCCTTGGTTTGTCATGGCCTACGGCTAAATACAAATAAATTTCTATTTCACTTAATCGGGCATTGAGGGTTGTCAGTTTTCAGACTGGCCCAGGGATCCCCAACCTTTTTGAGCCTGCAGGCACCTCTGGAATCCTGACACAGTGTAGTGGGCACAGGCACAAAACGGCTGCCACAGGAGGCAGAGCCGGTCACAACACGGCTGCCGCAGCTCACCGCCAGCCATACCCTGAAGATCCTTGTGCCGTGGCAGCTGCTGCAAAAGCAACTTTTTAAAAAATCTGCACTGCCAGTCAAGCCTCTAGTGGCCAATCAAAACCCATTCTGGGCATAAGCCCACTTGGCCCCACCCACTTCCTATAGGTACTTGGTGAGCACCAGGCGCCATGGCACCTCCCCCCGGTATCACACCGAGGGCCCCTGCTCTAGCCATTGCACCAGTTCTTATTTCCTCCAGGCAGGCATGCACTGTAGCCAACGCTCCCCCTAAGCCACCGAGCGAGAACAGTACCACTTAGCTTAGAGGGAACACTGATTGCGGTTCACCAATGCAGTGCAAGGGCTGTATTCAACCATACCTTTTCTTAGGTTCCACAGGTAACCTGATCTCTTCCAGTGACCCCGGCGGCCCAGTCCCAATGCCGGCCATTTCCGCCACTCTCCCTGACCAGGCGCCGGCAGCGTTCACCACTATGGAACACTTTATCGGGGAGTACTCTATACTGTCAGGCATTTGGACCTAGAAGGGGTTCACACGACGAAAGAGTTGGTGCGGTTTTCAGCAGGGCAACCAATTTCACAATGTGTCACCTAGTCCAAAGGCAACAGTCTGGGGAGCTTGTGTTTTCTCAGCCCCCCCCCCCCCCCCCCGCTTTGTGGAACAGCCTGCCATTACGGTACAGACGCTCTTTCTTTAGTAGTTTTTCACAGAGAACGCCTCATTTTGCAAGACTTAGCGATTCATGGCTATTGTATATTCATACCGAGACTGTGATTGAAAACAATGTCATTTACGGCCGACTATATGCCACCATGAATTCAGGAAGGGGGGGGGGGGTAATAAATTAAATTTTCAAATAAATTACATAAATAAAATCCGGGGGGGGGGGCGCTCTTGTTAGAAGTTCTCAAGCTGGCTTTGCAACACCCAGCACTGTCATATACAGGCTTTTGCTAGCGTGCTGCATTGCTTCCATCACAAAATGCGCTTTGAGAGGTTCTCCCCCTTTCCAGTGGCCACCGCCACAGGAGCCCTGTGGATTTCACTTTGGCCCATCCGCTCTGCAACCCACTCTCCTGCCATCAAAGGAATTAGGAACATAAGAACATCAGAAGAGAAGGAGAAGAAGAGGAGGAGGAGGAGATTGGATTTATACCCCACCCTTCACACAGAGTCTCCTTTCCCCTCCCCTCCCCACAACAGACACCCTGTAAGGTAGGTGGGGCTGAGAGAGCCCTGAGAGAACTGCCCTTTCAAGGACAGTTCTGACAGAACTATGGCTTGCCCAAGGTCATCCAGCAGCTGCAAGTGGAGGAGTGGGGAATCAAACCCGGTTCTCCCAGATTAGAGTCCGCACACTTAACCACTACACCAAAATGAAGAGAGCTGCTGGATCAGACCAGCGGTCCATCTAGTCCAGCATCAGTCTCACACAGAGGCCAACCAGTTCCGCTGGAGGGCCAACAACAGGGCATAGAAGCCAAGACACCTGATGTTGCCTCCTGGCACTGGGATTCAGAGGCTGATTGCCTCTGAATGTGGAGGTTCCCCTCAGTCACCGTGGCTAATAGCCAGTGATAAATCCATCCTCCCTGAAGGACTACTTACGTTAGCAACCATGATACGGGGGAAATTAATGAGCTCCCCATCCTCTGTCACCATTTCAGTGGAAGAACAATGGAAAGCTGGGGGGGGCACAAACAGAAGCAGCTGCAGTTATAACAGTAAAGCGTCCCCAGGTATTATACGAACGACTACACCCCCTCCCCAACTCATGAAATCAAGAGGGCAAATTCCTTCCCCTGTTATATTTCTATTCATAAAAGTCACTGTCATTACGAGTGAGGAGAACGAGCACAGATGGGTCTGGAGAGTGCGCGTGTTCCTTTCGTTGCACCATCAAAGCAGGTTAGGTTCCCAGCATAATAGCCCATTTCTCCCCTCTCTAAGGGCAGCATTTTACTTTTTCACCATAGAAGAGAATGGAGAAAAGCAAAGCCATGTATGCAGGGAAACAATGGAGCCATAAACTATCTCCTCCCCACCAATCCTGGTGACTTATTTAGAAAGAGGAGATTCTGCCCCACCCCTAGCTCTCCGGCTGACTCAGTTTAGTTAGTACGAGCCACTGAGAAGCAAGCCTGCCCTTATTTGCATAGCTCCGCCCTTGGCTTTCATCTCACAGTCCCCAGATAAGACCCGAGTTATACAGGAAACAGAATGAGGTGGTGTAACACTGAAGTGGTAAAAACAGACTGCAATCGTATCAGCCTACAGGTGGGGGGGGGGGACACACACACATTTTACAGTGTTCCCCGATCTGAGGTCGCTTCCAGCAACTAAAAACCAGCACAGCTCTCAGTGTCACGCCAGCTTTCTATCTGCCTGGAGTTCTTAATGCAAAGGAATGTTTAAGAACTGGACTTATATGCTAGCAACCTTCGTGGTACAGCATATTCTACCTCCCTTAGTTCTCCCACGAATTATGTAAACCGGTCCTGAAACTCAAAGTTCTGCATTTTAATACTGAAAGCACAAGTTTTTGCTCTGATTTGCATTAGGAAAACGGGGATGACAGAAGCATTCGACAGCTTTGGAACCCGCATAGGCGAGTTTGCCACTGGGCATACAAACCGCCTTTTGCAGATAGCAGCCACTCAGAGCCTCCCTTCAGTAGGGTTCATGCAACAGAATGTTTTTAGCGAGCCACAGAGAAATGTTCTGTGAGAAGATCTCCCCACCCAGTACTTGGCCAGGATCAAGAGGATGCGGATTGGGCCTGAGGCCATGGAGGCAGTGTTTCCAACTGCACCCCCATGCTGTTTCCCTGAATGTAACCGCCCTCACCCTGACCTGGATGGCCGAGGCTAGCCCTCGTCAGGCTCTCGTCCGATCTCAGAAGCTGAGCCACGTCAGCCCTGGCTAATATTTGGATGGGAGACCACCAAGGAAGTCCAGGGTTGCTACGCAGAGACAGGCAATGGCAAATCACCTCTGAACATCTACCCTCAGGGCTCTTTTTGTAGAAAAAGCCCAGCAGGAACTCATTAGCATAATAGGCCACACCCAACAGCAGGAACTCGTTAGCATATTGGGCCTCACCCCTGACAGCACAGCTCATTAGCACATTAGGCTGCACCCACATGTTACCAGAAGTGTGGTCATCCAGCCATACCCACCTTTTGCTTCTTATTCTGTTTACCTTGTTTGTTGTCAAAACCCAGGGCCTTTTTTTGTAGCAGGAACTCATTTGCATGTTAGGCCACACACCCCTAATGTAGCCAGTCCTAATGAGTTTCTGCTGTTGGGTGTGGCCTATTATGCTAATAAGTTCCTGCTGGGCGTGGCCAACTTGGGAGCCAGCCGGAACGCCGTTCCTGTGCGTTCCTGCCCTTGAAAGTCGCCATAAGTTGGAAGCAATTTCACAGCATTTTCCACCACTAACTGCCCTAAAGTTGCTTTTATCCAGAACATTTGTGCGTGTGTGTGTATTGCAGGTAGTAACCTTGCTTTCTTTTACAGGAGCCAAAGGCAATCTTAGAATGTAGGCTTGTTTGAGTTTTCAACCAAAATAGTCCCAATCCACCACACACCGCACCCCCAGCCACAGACCGCACCCCCCCCCCCCCCCCCCCCCCCCCCCATGGCTTCTTTTTGAAGCTAAATTCCACATCAGGGGATCCAGTTGCAGAAACTAAACATCAAGCTCAGTTTGGTCCTAGGGTTTCCGTGTTCCCAAAATCGATGGGGGCTAGCTGCTTTTTATATTTTAACGGTAATGTCGATGTATGCCGTTGATCACAGCTAAGGAAAGGGGGGGGAGAGAGAGAGAGATGGAAGACTCACACATCACTTCTCCAAGACTCTGGAAGACGCCCATCGACATTGCTTTGCGCCGCAAGGCGTTGAGGAGAGTCCAAGGGTCAAACCACCCTTCATTTTCTAGGCCTAAAGCACAGAAAAGGATGCAAGAAGGGAATGTCCACTTAGACTCACAATGGCTTGACACTTAAAACAGCCAGCAAGTTACCACTGTACTTTAATAACACAATTGAAGAAGCAAAAAGGGTGTGGTGGGCAGCATTCTGGCCTGGTGATACATGAAAATTTCCTCCCCCCTTAATGATTCCCCCCATTTGTTTTTCCTTCCTAGCCTTCACTCTGGCTATACACCGGTCATGAAAAAAAGAGGCTAGCCGGCTGATGAGTTTCCCTTTCCTCAAGGAAAGCAGATGGCCAGTGCAATCCTAAACACAGTTACACCCTTCTAAACCTAAGTGCTTAGGTTTGCAGTTTGCAATGTATATAACATTGTGCCTAGAAATAATTTAGCCATGTGGTTTGGTTACAGACAAGTAAAGGTAAAGGTTCCCTTGCTCGAAAGCCAGTCGAGTCCGACTCTAGGGTTGCGGTGCTCATCTCCGTTTCAAAGCCGAAGAGCCAGCGCTGTCTGAAGACGTTTCCGTGGTCATGTGGCCGGCATGACTAAACACCAAGGCGCACGAGTAAAACCAGAAAGTAAATTGGGGTGTGCGTGTGCATCAGCCTTTTTCCTTTAACAGTCTCACTTGCATGTTGTTAGCAATGGTAGTTTTCTATTCCTTTTTCCTACTCCAGTATCAGAAAAACACAGTGGCCACAGTCTTCCCAATAAACCCACTCTTAAGTATAGCGGGTAGAATATCAGACTACGATCTGGGAGACTCAGGTTCAAATCTCCACTCTGCCACAGAAGCTCGCTGGGTGACCTTGGGCCAGTCACAGACTCTGCCTGCACAACTTTACAGGGTTGTTGTGAGGACAAAGTGGAAGAGAGGAGAACTATGTAAACTACTTTGGGGAGAAAAGCAGGGTATAAAAATGAAGTAAAGAATTAACAGATCTCAACTTCTAGTGCACTCAAAGCCCTTCTGCTCACTGGCCAGATGATTGCCAAAAGCCCTTTTAAATATTCATTTTTTTAACAAAAAATAGCCCTTTTAAAATTGATTGAATAGGCGAAACAATATTATACTCATTCAAGTACTTGCTTTATGTGTGTCAGCAAGCTGCCAAAGGGTTTTTCTATGTGTATATGGTCACCCTGAGTTCACCCCCCCCTGTAGATGCGATTGGTTTGTCATGCGCACATCTCCCTATTAGCTGAGCATTCCTTTCAAAGTACGCTAGTCCTGCTTTGATGTAACGCTATCTCGCCAAGGCCACAGGTGGACGAGCAGAGGAGCTTTGCTTTGTCTTTCAATTAGCAGAAGCCGTGGGAATAGCATACCTATTTACAATGAGGTAGCCGTTGCTTTCCCAAGGTTTAGGCGTGCGCGGGGGCCCTTGGCCACACGCGGGAACCGTGTTTATTGGCTATTATGATTATGAACTTGCTTTAACCTTCCATGCTTCTTGGCTTTTCATTATTCTGAACAGTGACCCTGTTCAAGTGCTTCATGGCTCCAATAAAGTAAAACCTTCTAGTAAGTGTGTACTACGTTGTTTGCTGTGGGGACCTGACAATGTGTTTACTGTTTAGTACCAAACTCCTCTTCTCATTCTCAGCGTTATTACAGCATTTCTCCCATCCCACCCCATTTTGGGATACGGGCCAGAGTAAAACCTTCTCCACAGAGACCAGGAGCGAAGGCGGGACAAGAGATCCACAAGCAGATTGCAAGCTGGGAATGCAAACTGCGGGATCTCCCCGCTTCCCTTGCGCACGCTAAGGACACAGAGATGCCACCAAAACGTTTCTATCCGAGGCGGCGGCAGCGTCAACACCCTGTTTTACGATGGAGAACAGTCCAATACCATAGGAAGCCAAAGCTACGCCATCCGTATTCAACCATGGAAATTTCTTTTGCAGTTGGGCCGGTGACAGGAGGGACACCTCAGCTGCTTCCGCCCTGAAAAGCCGGTAGAGAACTCTCATCAGAATGCACTCATTTGGGAGGAGGGCCTCAAAAAGCTGCCCCCAGGAAATGCAACACAGTTTGGAAGCGCACCTCGGGGGGGGGGGGGCAGATTACCATTAAAAT